CCATTAGTTCTCGAAGTGTGCAGAAGCGATCCTTCGGCAAAGCTTTGGTGAGAATGTCTGCAGCTTGATCTTCAGTTTTGTAGTAGATGACCTCCATCTCCTTGTCCATGATCGCGCCCCTGATAAAGTTGTATTTTCTCTTGATATATCTCGTCCTTTGGTGGAAGACGGGGTTCTTTGCATTGCGATCACTGACTTGTTGTCACAGAGGAGAGGAGTAGGCTGCAGTTGTTTTTCACCAATGTCTTCAAGCACATTCCTTAGCCACTTGATTTGTGATGCTGCTTGAGAAGCCGCCACGTACTCGACTTCTACAGTTGATAGTGCCACAGACTCCTGCTTCATCGACGCCCAGGAGAACACACCCGATCCGAGTGTGAAGCAGTATCCAGAGGTACTCTTCATGTCATCTTCATCACCTCCCTAGTCACTATCGCAGAATTAGAATAGCTTTGTTGAGGATTTCTTCTCAAAATGGATCCTAAAATTCTGGGTGCCTTGGATGTACCTAAGGACCCGTTTGGAAGCTCCCACGTGCACTCTTGTTGCACAATGCATGAACCTGCTTAAGAGACTTGAGGCAAACATGAGGTCAGGTCGAGTATTAGAGAGGTAGAGGAGACTCCCTATGATACTTCTGTAGAGGTTGAGGTCTTCTCCTTCGGTACTGTCTCCCTTCTTGAGTTTATCACTGACCACCAGTGGGGTAGATACGGGCTTGTAGTTTGCCATGCTGAACTTCTTCAAGATTGACTGTGCATAGGCCTGCTAATGAATGATGATGCCATCTTCGTCCTCATATCTTCAAATGTAAAGTGTGGCTTCACTAAGGCTTCTTCTGAAGTTGTGCTTGGTGAAGTGGGAGTTGACCTCTTCATACCACGCCCTTGGTGCTTGCTTGAGACCGTAGAGCGCCTTGTGGAGCTTGTAGACTTTATCCTCGACTCCTGCAACTTCAAACCCTTGCAGTTGATGGATGTAGACTTCTTCTTGTAGCACCCCATTGAAGAATGCCGACTTCACATCGAGCTGGAATACATTCCACCCTTTGTCAGCAGCTAGAGCAATCAAGAGACGAATTGTCTCTAGTCTGGAGACAAGGGCAAAGGTTTCATTGAAGTCCACTCCGGGCTTCTGTGAATAGCCTTTCGCCACAAGCCGTGCCTCCTTCTTGTTGATGGACCCGTCAAGGTTCAGCTTAGTCTTATAGACCCACTTGACGCCGATGATTGGCTTGGCTGCAGGTTTCTCTACCAGCTCCTAGGTGCCATTTTTCTCTATCATGGAGATCTCCTCCTGCATGGTTTTCTTCCAATCTTTTTCTTTGATGGCTTCTTCAAATGACTCAGGCTTCAATATGCAAAAATTACATGAAGCATAAATCTCATTAAGATTTCTGTATCTTAATGAAGTTGTACCTGAGAAGGAAGAAGAACTGGGACTAGAGTTGGATGGTGTGCTTGAGGAGCTAGCACTTGATCTTGGTGTGGTTGAGTCAGAGCTTGTTGAACTTGAACCGTTTTGTGGAGTTTGTAATTCTGGCTCTGGATCTGGATCTTGGGTGCTCTCTGAATCTAGGTAGATGTAGTTTGTGGGCACCTGATCCTCCATAATGAGATCCCAGTTCCACTTGGTTGATTCGTCAAAGACCACATCCCGTGAGATGACGATCTTTTGAGTCTTCGGGTTGAAGAGCCTGTAGCCCTTTGTATGTCTTGCGTATCCCATAAAGATACACCTTGTGTTCTCCTCTAGTTTGGATCTCAACAGGTCTGGGATGTGAGCAAAACAAACACAACCGAAAACCTTAAGGTGGTTTAAGGAAGGTTTTCTACTTGAGAATGCTTCGAAGGGTGTCTTGTCCTTCAATGCTCTTGTTGGACACCGGTTGAGAAGGTACACAACTTGAGAATGCTTCGAAGGGTGTCTTGTCCTTCAATGCTCTTGTTGGACACCGGTTGAGAAGGTACACAGCGGTGTTGACTGCTTCTCCTTAGAACTTGTAGGGAAGGTTCTTCTCATGTAGGAGACTCTTCACCATCTCCACAATAGTTTGGTTCTTCCTTTCTGTCACTCCATTCGAGTTAGGAGTGTATGGACATGTGGTTTGCTTCTCGATGCCAAGGTTGCTGCAGTAGTCTCGAACTCTGCTGAAGTGTACTCTCCACCCCGATCACTTCGAATCTTCTTGATCTCCAATTCTGTTTGTCTTTCCACCATTGCTTTGAACTTTTGGAAGATGGTGAAAGCTTCTAATTTGAGCATCAAAAAGTAGAACCAGACCATCTTGCTAAAGTCATCAATAAAAGTGATAAAATATTTGTTACCGGCCAGGGACTCCGTCTTCATTGGACCACATAGGTCCGTATGGATCAACTCCAAAGGCTTTGTTGCCCTCCATGCTTCTTCATTTGGGAACTCTCCTCAGTGCTACTTGCCTTTCATGCAACTGGAGCAGACACCTTCGACTCCTTCAATGGTTGGGAGGCCATACACCATTTCTCTGATTTGAAGAGTCTTGAGGCTTTGGAAGTTGAGATGCCCGAGCCTCTTGTGTCATAGCCAGGAGGAGTTCACCTCTTCGACCTTTGGAGCTTGAGTGTTCAAGTAGTGCAATGAGAGAAGAAAACTTCTGTTGGGTTGCATCTTGACTTTGGCCACCAAGTTGTTAAAACTCCTATCATCATAGATATTCACTGCTTGATCACCAAAAACTAGAAAATAACCGTTAAGGAGCATTTGACCTACACTTAACAGATTTTCCTCTAGACCCGGTACAAGCATTACATCCTTGATGTATCTTTTTTCCTTTCTTTGTATTTACAGCCAAGATACCCTTTCCTTCAGATTTTGCAATATTCCCATTTCCCATCTTAACACTACCAAGATTGGATGTGTCTAAGTATATCAACAGTGACCGGTTCGTGGTCATGTGGTTACTACAGCCACTGTCAATATACCAAAGACTACCATCACTATCTTTTCCTCCATGACAAGTAAAGAAAATATTACCTTCTCCGTCCTCTTCTTGGTTTGCAAAGACTTGCCGATAGTTTTGGTTTTGATTTCCTTGAGTCCTCCACTACTCTTTTGTATGCCCAAATTTGGAGCAGTTGGTGCACTTGGGCTTCCCCTCGAACCAGCACTTCCCTTGATGAGACTTGCCGCAAGTTCTACATGTGGATTTGCCACCTTGTTGGGAGTTTCCACTTTGTTGTTGTTGTTGAGGCTTTGGAGCAAAATTGAGCTTGCCTCCTTTCTTCTTCTTCTTTTTCTTCTGGCTCTGTTGTTGATTTGAGCTCATGTTGAAGCTTTGGAAGGCTCTCTCCATGGTAGAAGCTTCATTACTTTTCTCAAGCTTTTGGTCAAACGCCTTGATGGATGCGATTGCCTCTTGTAATGAAAGCTTCTCCATATCTTTTGTTTCTTCTATCACACTTACAACGGGTCATATCTACTAGTGAGAGAAATAAGAATTTTTTGAACTACTCTTTGATTTGTTACATCTTCACCATATGTTTTTAATTGATTTATAACATTGGTGAATCTAGTAAGAAAATCATCGAGTCTTTCTTATACTATCATAGAGATTTGCTCAAACTCTTTTCTAATAGTTTGAAGCTTAACCGCCCATACCTTTTCACTTCCATGGTACTCTTCTTGGAGGATTTCCAACGCCGCCTTTGTTGTCTCTTTGTTGGAGATCCTGGGGAAGATGGAGTCGGAGACGGCATTTTGGATCAACCTGAGGGCTTTGGCATCCCTCATGTAGTTGAGCTTTAATGTCTTCTACTCCGTCGGGGTGAGAGAGTCTTTGTCTTTTGGCACCTTGAAACCATTCTCCACTAGCTTCCAAAGGTCATGCGCTCTGAATATCGTCCTCATCTTGATCCGCCAAAAGTCGTAGTTCTCCCCGGAGAAGATCGGTTTTCTATCTCGCCGAGGTAGGTTTTGGTTCAGACTCAATAACTATTGGGTTAGCCACTTGAACCCGAGACGAAGTTAGAGAATCGACGGTTGTATCGGTCATTTTGAGGAGGATATTTGGAAGAGTTTTGGTAGTGGGTGTTTGTGTTTTTGTAGAGGTAGGGTTTCTTTACACTCAGTTGTCGTAACGAAGCTCTGATACCATGTTGTAATTTCGCAGTGAGTAGTGAAGAAAACTTTGGCTAAGGCTAGTATGATAGAGAACTAGAGAGAGAGAGATGTAGAAGAAGATAGAGAATTTGGTGCTTTTGTTTTCTTTTTTTTTTCTTTATTTCAAATTCTCCCACTCATGGGTTTATATAGACTTATACATGACCCTTCATACTCTACGCATTTACTTTCATAGAATACAAAGAGTCATCTCATAGAATACCACCCCACTTATTATACTTTGACTCTTAGGATTCCCTTCCACCAAGGATATCACACTATGGCTCTTGGATTGTTTAGGTTGCTAAACACTGATTAGTTCAACATTTAGATGGTCATATATCCTGCAACTGAAGTAAATATTTTTGTGAGAAAATGATGTACCGGAATTCATTCCATAACTTATTGTTGTGTGGCCTCGTAACGTAATATTTATTTCAATTAGATAAGTTTTCTGCAAATTTTAGTTCTCAGCTATGCATATTAGTCAACCAGTAAAAATAATCGGATCAGCAAATCAAGATATAAAGATAAAATGAAGAACAAGCCTCCCATGAAATGAAGAACAAGCCTCCCATGCTGTCAAAATTAGGAGCAAACTTCTCTATTTAATCGAGTCATGCAGAAAACTCCTAAAATCTATTGTATTTGGAAGGCAACCCATTTTGATATTATCCAAATTTTACCAAAAAAAAGGACCCTTTTCTATTTAAGATTACTCCTATAATAGGTTGATTTTCTGCCAAATCAAACATAGGGGTTTCCTGCAAAACCAGACAAAATAAAGGAGATTTCTCTAAAATTCATTAGAATATGGGGTCACTACCAAGCCTCAGAGACAAGAGTGTCACTAGTTCATGTACCTGGATATGCCTATACTTCTTGTGTTGAGCAGCCCTTACTAAGCCATCTTCTGTCCACGCTGTAATCTCAAGAACATCATGAGGGAAACTCTCCTTATCAATGACAAGGCTATGATATCTCCCTGCAACAAAAGGACTGTGACAATAAATAAAAGTGTCAATAGTATTTGTATTATCAGTTTAAGATGGATGCACAATCCAAAAATGTTGTTAACAACACGGAGTTGTTGCAGCAATATGCAAGATATTTTCCATCTTAATAATGTCGTATTTTACTCCTGTTGTCATTTAAACTTGTTTCTAACCATAACTATGTCATGATATGTAATATAACAGTCAAGGGCGTATAGTGTCATCAAGTATATAACTAATAGAAATATATGTCTATGTACGTACTATGCACACGTAAAGTATATATTGATGAACATGTGTTTTATGCCCATGTGCCTCCCGGTGTCGTATTGGTTAACATTTCTTGTGCCTCATGCCCTAAACCACCAGGATACTTTTCATACCTGTTGCGGACAACGTAAATTTCGACAGCACTTCGGCAGCACAACAAGTGAAGTCAGGTCGCAATAGGAATTCCTGTTTCACAAAGGAAACAAGAACCTTAAGCAAAATATCTCAACCAAGTGAAATATCAGCTCTTCCTCTCATCAGTTCTAGGACTGACCTGTCAAGGGAACCTAAAAGCTATTACAAATCACACAAATAGCGAGACAACTAATTTTACGTGGTTCGGCAAATTGCCTACGTCCACGGGGCAAGGAGGGGAGAGATCTACAATTAGAGGGAGAGAATACAAATAGGGTTTATAATCATTGAATCTAAACTCTCACACAAACTCTCAGATCCCTCACACAAATACTCTCTCAAAGTGATGCACAGAACCCTAAAAGGAACTGCTCAAAAAAATCAGCCGACACCCTTTGCACATGCGCGCTGCCAAAAGAGAAAAAAAAACGCCGACTTTTCTTCCTGCACCGAACCCCCACTTTGCATAAAATTAACCTAGGAATCTTCGCTATTTATAAGCTAAGCTGCGGAAGCTCGGGTGGGCCAGCGCTTTATCTGGGCCACGTTCGTCCGTTTGAAGCATGTGGGTGGCCCCCACTCCACTTCGTTCACAATTCTTCACCTCGGCAAAGTTTTTTCAAAACTGAGCCGATACCAAAGCAACCAAATGTCCCACTTGTTGTGTCCAGTACGAAGTGAATCCACAACAAGTTGAGAACCCGAACGAGAGTCCAAACAATCTCACCCCCATCAAAATCAACTAATCCAAACCGGCTGCATCATAAAGACTGCCTACGTATCCTCTTGCCCAATGAATCAAGTCTCCCGTAGTTCATACAAATGGCCGCCAACGACCTCAACAATCACGAATGTTCAACAAGTTTCGACAATGATCAAACTTGTTGCTCGGAATCACCTTTATGAGCATATCCACCGGATTATCCTTCGTGTGGACTTTCACAATTTCCACATCGCCATCTTCAAGAACATCCCGAACGAAGTGATAATGAATGTCAATATGCTTCGTTCTCACATGAAAAATCTGATTCTTCGCCAAATAGATACCACTCATGCTATCACAATGAATAGTGACGGATCTCTGCGATATACCAAGTTCCTCCAAAAGTCCTTGAAGCCAAAGATCCTCCTTCACAGCCTCTGTAACTGCCATATACTCTGCCTCCGTTGTAGACAAATCCACAGTCGACTATAAGGTGCATCTCCAACATACTGGCGCAAGGGTCAAAGTAAACACATACCCCGTAGTAGACCGGCACTTATCCAAATCCCCGGCATAATTCGAATCAACATAGCCAATGCATGACTGCCCACCTGTAGTGTCCCGCTCATAAACTAAACCAACATTGAGCGTACCTCGAATGTACCTCAAAATCCATTTCACAGCGTCCCAATGACCCACTCCTGGATCGTGCATGTATCTCGAAACCATGCTCATCGCTTGTGATAAATCCGGCCTCGTACATACCATCGCATACATCAAGCTCCCAACCGCGCTCGCATATGGAGTCTTCGACATCAACTCTCGATCTTCAAATGACTTTGGTGAAAGACCAGCTGAAAGCTTCAAATAGGCTCGTAAAGGTACACCAACTGGCTTCGTATCCATGCTAACATGGAATCGCTGTAGAACCTTCTTCAAATAAGCCACCTGTGTCAAACAAATTCTGCCCTTCTTCTTGTCTCTGCCGATCTCCATCCCTAAAATACGCTTCACCTCACCCAAATCCTTCATCTCAAACTTATTTGAAAGCTGTGCCTTCAACTCATCTATAGCAGATCTGGAAATAGAGACAACCAACATGTCATCGACATAAAGCAATAAATAGATGTACGCACCTCCTTTCAACTTGCGAAAATATACGCAATGATCAAACTGGCTCCGAGTGTACGAATGACCAATCATAAAACCATCGAATCGTCTATACCACTGTCGAGGAGACTGCTTCAAACCGTATAGCGATTTCTTTAATCTGCAAACTAATTTATCCTTCCCTGTAGCTCGAAATCCCAATGGCTGAGTCATATATACATCAAGATCACCATGAAGAAATACCGTCTTCACATGTAAGTGATCTAACTCCAAACCATACTGTGCTTCCAAAGCTAGCAAATCCGAATCAAAGAATGCTTTACCATCGGAGAGAAAACCTCATTATAATCTATTCCTTCCTCCTGTGCATAGCCCTTCACAACCAACCTAGCTTTGAACCTCAATGGAGTGCCCTCAATGCCCTCCATCTTCGTGTATATCCACTTGCAACCAATTTCCTTCCGCCCCTTTGGTAGCTCAACAAGTTCCCATGTATCGTTCTTATGAAGAGATTCCATCTCCTCCTGCATAGCCACCTGCCACGAATCAGCCTCCGAACTCTACTCAGCCTCTCTGAATGTAGTAGGCACCAACTCATCGATACTCTCCACCGGAAGTGAATACGCAACTGTGTCGGCATACCATGCTGGCATCTGTATGTTTCTCCTCTGTCTCCGAACCGCAATCAAATCCTAAACCTGGGCCGTCGGTCCCTGATCCTGCACATCAGTACCCGTATTCTCCGTGTCACTGTCGTGCTCACCTGGCGTCACCTCAGTCAACACTCTAATAGATACTGTACCATCTGGACAATGTGAAGCTTCATCGATCTCCACCACCTGCGATATCTCCTCAATCGGGTCGCTCTCCACCTGATGAGAGCTGGGAAGCTTCAAGATAGAAGTCTTATTAAATGTGACGTCCTTACTCAGCATAATCTTCTTATCAATTGGATCCCAAAGCTTGTATCCCTTGACACCATACTTGAATCCTACAAATATGGCCTTCCTAGCTCGAGGTTCTAATTTATATGTTCTCACATGATAAAATACAGGACACCCGAATACCTTGAGCTGGTCATAGTCGTGTGCTGGCTCTCCCGACCACATTTCCATAGGGGTCTTCCCCTCAATCGTAGATGAAGGCAGCCTATTAATGAGGTGGCTCGCATATGTAAGTGTCTCAGCCCAAAAGATCATCTCCAAACTACTCTGTGACAATAAACATTGGACCTTCTCTAGTAAAGACCGATATAATCTCTCTACCACCCCATTCTGCTGTGGTGTATGACTAATCATGAAGTATCTCTCTATGTCCTCGTCTCAACATAGCCATAGAAAGGGGTCAGAATTATATTTACCACCGTTATCGGATCGCAACGTCTTGATCTTTCTCCCAGTCTGCAGTTCTAATCTCTTCTTCCACTCCACAAATATATCTAGGACTTCACTCTTCTTCGTCATGGTGTATACCCAACAACGCCTAGAATAGTCATCAACGAACGTGACGAACCAATGTTGACCACCAAGTGATGTAGTCTTGGTACGACCCCAAACGTCTGTGTGCACGTAGTCCAGGACGCTCCTCGTCTGATGCATGGCAGTCTCGAACTTCACCTTCGTCTTCTTGCCAAGAACACAATACTCACAGAACTCAATCTTCCCACTCTTAGCTCCCTTAAATATCCCCTGCTTGCACAATACCTGCAGTGACTTTTTACCTGTGTGCCCCAACTATAGTGCCAAAGTCTACTCATGTCCGCTTCTGAAATAGCCGAAGCAACCTGGCCAATCTCGGTGATTCCCTTCAGATAATACAAATTTTGATTGCGGACTCCCTTCATCACCACCAATGATCCCTTTGTAACCTTCGCTATAGCGTTTTAGAAAGTCACCTTGATTCCCTTCGCCTCCAAAGCTCTAACTGAGATAAGATTTTTCTTCAGTTGAGGAACAAATCTCACATCCTTCAACTCACGGACTACTCCATCGTGTATCCTAATCTGCACGGTACCTATTCCACAAACACCATAGGATTGATCATTTCCCATGACAGCAACACCCCCGTCAACTTTCTCAAAAGATGCAAACCAGTCTCGCCTAGGGGTCACATGATAAGTAGCGTCGGAATCAAGCATCCAATCTGATGCATCCACATGGTTCACCTCCGGAGTAATCAGTAGAGAAAAGAACGAATCATCAGAATCATCACCTTTCACAACGTTCACCTCATTGGCCTTCGGGCCCTTTTTCTTACCATTCTCCTTCTCCTTGAGCTTTGGGCAGTCTCTCTTTCAATGTCCTTGCTCCTTACAGAATGTACATTGGTTCTTTGCTAATTGGTGGTGGCCTCTAGACTTTGACCTTTCTCTATTATCACATTTCGGGTATGGGCTTCTACCTCTCGTTGACAAGGCCTCTCCTGAAGTACTAGCGTGGGAAGTCTCCTTGTCCTTCCTCCATAAGTCATAGTTCATCAAAGCGTTAGTTACTTCACTGTAGCTGATAGAAGATCTCCAATTTAACAAAGTGAGCACAAAGGTGTCATACTCCTCATCCTGTAAGGAGCCCAATAAGATAATAGCCTTGTACTCATCCGAAATCTTCTCATCAACATTTGCCAAGTCCGACAACAACTTAGTATAGTTGTTCACATGTGCTGCTAGTGAGGTGCCTCTGGACATCTAAAATCTGAAGAGTCTTCGCAGCAAGTGCAACATGTTCTCAACACTCTTCGTGAGATACTTGTTGTTGGGAATTTTCCACATCTTCATTGTAGACGTCACC